AAACATGGGAACTGGGACAACCAATATTTGCCTGCTTTTCAAAGCACAGTAAATCTAGTGCTGAGTCTCCAAATGCAGTCAGGATGTCTAGGAATCTGCAGTACATGTTCTCAGCTATTATTGAAGGAGACAGCTGTCTAGTCAATGTAAATTTTATTGTAAGATTTGTTTAATAGAATTCATAATTCTGGGGGGGGGGGACAAACACTCTTGAGACACTAATGGAGGGTCTGAATTTGATATGTGAAGACAAAGAGGGCCGTCAGACTTAGCATCAGTTATTGTCTCAGAGAAAGGTGGGCAATACACGAGAGTAACTACTGTTGAAAGGAAACTCCCACTGATCCACTGCTACTGTCCTTACTAAGCCAGAAGCCAGGGTAAAAATTAGAAGTGGAAAAAGCATATAAAATTTTTATACCATAGTAATAATGTGTTTTTTCCCATTGTACTAGAATTTTCTGCACCATTTGATATCCAGAATCCTTTTCTATTGAAAATCACTATTGCTCTCGCTATTGAAATAATACAATATTCTTGCTTTTCTCATCCCACCCTGACCAATCCTTCTGTGCTCCTCAGTGGCTATTCAGTATTTCTTCAAGTCTCTGTAAATATTCTCCCAGGTTCACTCCTTGGCCATCTGTTCAACTGAACTAATAAGTTTCCCGTTATCATTATGGTTTCAGTTACCACCTCTACAAATATAATTTCCAAAAACTTACATTAACTTTCATCTTCTCCACTGGATGCCAGTAATATATTTCTAAATGATTAATGCACATTTCCACGTGAAATTTTGGATGCAATCTGTAAGTCAACATGCCTTGAGCTAACTGAATTTTCCTCCAAATTGAATCCTTTATTCAATTCAACTCTTTTATCTTTGTCTATTTAATCATCATCTCATAACTCTGGAAACCATACTAACTAGTATGGGAAAAGAAATCCTTTCAATTCATTATTTATCAAATGTCCAATTATCCTCTTTGCTCAAAATTCTTAATGGTTTCCCCATTTACCTTGTGTTCATTGAGGTGATGTTCTATACAACACTGCCTATGTTTTGGGAATACAGGTTGCAACCCCTACAATATATGTTGTCATACCACAACCAGAGCCAAAATAATTCATTGGATTGATTCCTACCATTTTGCTTCTTGTCCCCACTGCTTCCCCTTTTGGTAGACTCAATTTTGCAGTCAGATTTCTAGGGTTGATTTAATTTGATTTTCTTATTATTTTGCTTTACTTGTATATATTCTACAGATGAGTGAAAGCATCCAGTATTTCTCTTTCTCCATCTTACATTTTGTTTAGCATCATCTTTTACATTTCCATCCATGTTGCAAGATCTTTTTTTAATAGTCAAATAGTAGTCAATTAAATATATATTCTACATTTGTTTATCAACCTCTGTCCTTGTGTACTTGTTTATATAACTTCGTTCTTGTAAATAGTGTTGAAAAGAACACAGGGATGTATATATACCTTCAGATTGTTTTTGTATTATTTGGATAGCTATTCAGAAGGAGGGTACTGAATTATATAGAAACATGTTTTCACTATTTTGAGAATCTACAATGTCATTTACTGTATGGACAAGTCTATTTTCCCATTAACAAGAGCAAGAGTTTCTTTTTCTCTATATCCTCTCCAGTACTTGATTCTGTTCATGTGTGTTCATGTATGTGTGTGTGCACATGTGTGTGTGTGTGTGTGTGAGAGTGAACCATCTTATGTATATGAACTAGTAGCACATTGTGGTATAGGTTTTTGTTTCCTTGATGATAAGTAATGGTGAGTATTTTTTATATGCCTGTTACCCATCTGTTTATCTTCTCTGGAGAAGTGTCTATTTAGACCTTCAACTATTTTTTGCTTAGGTTGTTTGCTAAGTTGTATGAGTTCTCTGTAGATTTTGGATATTAAGCCCTTATTGGACCTATTTATTTGGGTATCTTCTGTTTCATTGTGCAGAAGCTTTTAATTTGATAGAGTTCCACTGGCTGTATCTCTAAAGAGTCATAATATCTGTGTTCTATTATATCACTATCTACCACATTATCTAGTTTCGTGTATTACACAGTAAATTCCTTTGACTCCAGGAGGCACATCAACCTTATGCTCTCCTGTGTGTTTAATTCAATAAAGGACAAATTCAATTAAGCGTTAGGCTTTTCAGTTGTTGTAGTCTGGCCCATTCCTAACATCCAAATTACCTACTAGGACACTTTGCAATCTACTTCATGCTTTTATTCTATTTGCTATTGAATGATTATGTTCAGTTAATTTTTTTCCCTTTTACTTTTTGTATGTGACTATTCTTCATCCGACTCATCACTCTAAATTTTAAAATCCTCTCAAAGATCCTTCCCTAACACTTTTAGTTCACATTTATCTCTGTTTCCAGTTAATTTCTATACATCTAATTTTGTGTTCTTTGATGTTCTTTGCTATGCAATTATATTTCTAATTTTCCTAATTATCAAACCCATTCTGATTGTTGACTTCATTCTCTCTCTTTGATACCACTATTTCTTTTTTTTTAATTGCTTATATTATGTTTCTTATGTATTAATTTTGTTTATCTGGCTACCTATAAAATCCTTTCAGGAAAAAATTGTAATATTTTCTTACATCACTCCAATAACCTACAACTCTTATGGAAAAACTCTTCAGTAAGTACTCAAATGTACTTTTCAAATGAATAAGTATAAGTACAGAAAAAAATAAATATATTGAAAGTATGTACATATTAAAGTTAATTATAGAAATTTTATTTTACAATTTAGAGAGATAGAAATTTAAAGAAAAATTCTGAATTTTTCAATATGTTACCATTAGTATTTTGGGATATATTTTTTCTTTACTGTATTATCAGTAACTTAATTATTAGATAAGGGAAAAAGGAAAATTGACCTATATATTGTATGTACCATCAGTTGTTTGCTATGAAATTCCTTAAATTTTATACAAAAGCTAGCAAGAGAACCCATGAATTGCAATACAATAGTAAAGACCATTTTGGAATCATTTTGGTAAATTTTGCTCTGAAATTAGTTAAAGTAAGAAAATTATTTGAATGGCAGATGAAGAGACCAAGCTCTTAACCACCTTATGTTTTGACCCTATTATAATCCTAACACTCACAAATGTCACCAATTCAGCAGTAGACAAAAAGAATTTTGCTGTCCAAAACATATTCTGTCACTTTCCTGACATTAAGAAGTTGAATACGCTTCACTGGAACTAATGTCCACCTCATTAATTCTTCTACCTACACCTCTTAATATTTGCCTTTCATGCATTTTATCACTGGTCTCTTTTTATTTTTTTCTGGAAAACATTTATGTTTAAGTGATTCTAATGGGATTTCCTCTTCTCTAAGTTACACAAATTCACTTATAATAAAACATACCAAAAGATTTATTTTATGGGAAATAGGATGATGTAATAAGGTGGAAGCATCAACATGAAAGAAACTACATTGTGCCCCATGAGCAAAATAATAATTTTTATTGAATATAAGAGCCCTTTAAAGTGACACAATTGAGATTAATAACAGCTACTTTATAGGTCTTAAGTATGCTCTTATATGCAGACCTATTTGTTCACAGTTGTGTATGTATGTGTGTGTGTGTTTGAAGAAAGCACAATTCAATTTGCAACATGACTGAAGCACAATTCAATTTGCAACATGATTGAAAGGAGGAATAGATAACTATTATTTATTATAAAGAGATGACTTGACAGCTCTGAAAATCATGAGAGTTTTATGTAAAAGAACTGGGATTGAAGACATAAATTTTATTCTCAGACTTCATAATTTATAAATAAAATTACTGTACAAGAACTTTGGTTTTATATCTGTCAAAAGGCAATCAAAATAAAAACCATGAAGATTTGTAAAGAAATTAAATGATATAAATGAACATATTTTGCCTAGTATAAAAAATGAAATTAAAATAAAAGACAACAACTTGCATGCATCGTTTATAAAATACTTCATGATTTCATTGTGATCATTTGAACCACTCTACCTTCAACTTATACCATACTAATAACTTTAACTCTCTCATATCCCACAAATACACTCAGTACCTTTGTCTCAGGGCCTTTGCATATACTATTCCTTAATCTTGAAATGCTCTTTTATACCCTTAGTTGGCTTAATTTAATTCAGATCTCTACCTCAACATCACTTCATATGTTACTATAAAGTTTGTCAAGAAAGTGTCCACTTCTCTTTGCTCTCATTTTTCTTCACTTCATTATTTTTCCAGAACTCACAACTAACTGGTATCATATAATATTTACTTTGTTGTCTGAATGAGTTCTCTACTACTAAACTCCAAGAAAATGGAGATTTTGCCTACCTTTCTTGTTACTGCTACTTCAGTAACCAGAACAATATCTGCATATAAAATGCTTAAACTATACAATGCATGTATGAATGAATGAATATTTCATTGCATCCAGAACAATCTCTGTACATAAAATGCTTAACAATACAATGCATGTGTGAATGAATGAATATTTCATTTTGCATCCTTATACGTATAGCAACTTACAAAGCACATTAAATAATCATCAATTTAATCATGATGGAAGGCCTATGAACATTTTCATTTTATAAATGAAGAAAATAGAGACCTGACAAGATACAGTAGTTTGCCCAAGGTAAACACTGCAGTGGTAGAAACAAAGCTGCCTGGCTCCAAAATGTATGCTCTCAATCACAGCTACACAGTTGATGCATTTAGCCATTTTTATATTAACTGATGTTTGATATTACTTTTACAAAATATATTGAATTTACTATCAAAAGCACATTTATGTAAGCTAAATTGATCTCCCAAAGAAATGACTGCATTCAGTAGCTAAAAAATAAAGTCTAAATATCAAAAAACAAAAAGACCCTCTGCATTTGAAAACAGTTGAGAATAAGAATTGAAAGACATTGGTTTGTTTTCACAGGTAGTCAACATGTGACTTACCTCCAGGTGACCAGTTATTGCAGCAATATGCAGGGCAGTGAGGCCACCATACCCAACCTGCTGTATGTCAGCTCCACTGTGAAGCAGGGAAGTGATCAATTCAGCACTATCCTGTAGGGAAACACATCTTTAGTGTGACTTTTCTACTAATAGCAGATTTGAACAATGTGCAACAGGATATATTGATTCTCTGACTGTCAGCCGGTTTAGGTGCTCACAGAAGACTTAAGTGTGATTTCTGGCAGAAGAGCACATGAGATAGCAGAGAGAGAAGCTCTCAAATGCTTGAAATGTAGGAACAAATGACAGGGGCATTCAGTTACAATCAATCTTCTGCTATTTACCATGAAAGGCAGAAAGGACATTTACCTATGGTGAAACTCTTGCTAACTCAACTCAATCTTACAGGTTGGTCCCTCCAATAAATAGAATTTCATCAGCAACTGTAGTACTGAATTAACTACAGTGGACTATGTCATGGTAGTTCAGTAATTGCTTCATCGCTAATACATTTGTGTCATGAAGCTGGTACATAATTAATGACACACAGTATCATGGGCGCTATCATAATTAATCAGTAGTGTCTTTTTTAACTCAACTCACTTAAACTGAAAATGTTTGAAGCAATTTTTAAGCCTTAAGTTAGAATGATTTATTTAATAACCAAAATGATACTTATTTTCTTCATTCTGTTATTTACACTGTATTTTTATTCAGAAACATGGGCCTTACGATATTAGAAGCAATTAACATTCATTGAAAGTTTTACTATTTGATCATTCATATGCAGTCTATAAACCTGGCACATGGTATAACTTAAAAAATAACTGCTGATAAAAATAATCAAATATTTCTTAAAAAAAACACTATGAACACTTATGATTATAAACTTCATTTTACAAGTCAGAACACTAAAAAAAAACTCATGTGGAAGTTCACATATTCACAAGCTCCAGATTTAGAAAGGAATGCAAAGATGTTCATGCTTCCTTAAAGTAGCAATTCAAAGTATGACTTCTATAATATTTGACATGTTGCTGTCTCAAACACATTCAGTATGACAATAGCCAGGTCTTTACAAAATAGGCCATTACATCATGTATATACATAACATTTCAAATACCTTGGTTATGAAAAAACAATTAATGCTCTCTATATAGTGGAAGTCTAAAATTTATAAAAAACTGAAAAAAAAAACTTTGATAAAACACCTCAGATAGCAAAATGTTATAGTTTCAAAATCTTCAACTCTACTTATCTGCTCTACCAAGAAAGTTAATAAGCTTTCATTTTTTTCTAATTTTCCATTGGCTCCTTCTGCTCAGTCTATAAACTTCAAGCTTTATCCATTCTAAAAAAAACACACCATTTTTTCCACTGAAACTAAGATAATTTTATCTCTATCTTTGCCTTCATTTTCCAAGCTTCTAGAAAATTATTGACACTCAGTGCTGACAGCTCTGATTTTGTTTCCTTAGCAATTTCTATACACTCAAATCTTGCATAAATCTCACTGAGTTAACCATACTCTTTAAACAGTGAAACTTGCTTTGTCTTATACTATATTAAGGAATATTTTGTGTTCCTTTTTCATTGCCTCATATTATCAAGAGAAATCACCACGACTGCTGTTTTCACCTGAATCAAAGGACCACTCTATGAAATCTAATGTCAGTCATCTTCGTTACAGTAAAAACATCTCCCCTTGAAATCTCTATCTTATCTGCTTTTGTCAAATTCACATGCCTGCTTTTTCTCAATTGTTTCATCTTTGTTTTTTAACTATCTCCAAAAAGTAAGTGATTTGAAAGGTTAGCCCTAAGCTACTTTATCATTCTCCATGCTACTTTTCATAATCTTTATAACTTCTAATAGCTTCATCTTTTTTCCTGTGTTCTTTGTCCAAACCAAACTCCATATATTTTGCCAACCACTGACATCTTAAATTAAAAATTGCTGAGGTAAATACCATTCATAATTTTCTCAGTATGATTTGTCAAATCCTAGCAATCCTTATTTGTATTAATAGCAATTTATTACTCCAAATGACCTAGATACTTTCAAGTCATTTTCAGAATTCTGCTAAATTTAACTTACTTTACTTATGGCATTTCCTCTCATTCCCATCACCCTCCATTTTGTAAAGCCTTCTAATCAATCTTCTTAGCTAAGCCTTTCTCATCACAGTTCATTCTCCACATATACCCAATAAATTTTCTTATAAAGTATTTATTATGTCACTCATGTTTGTAATAAACTTTTCATACATCTTCAAATATTTATTGATAATTTATTATTGTAAAACATTGTTTTGAAAAGTGGGGGCATTGTAGTAACATAGTTACAATCCCTGCTTTCATGAAGGTTACATTTTACTACATGTATGAGAGAAGAACCAGAAATAGTAATAATAGTGTTTTAAATATTATACAGAAATAATAGTGTTTTAAATATTATACACAGGATATATATCACATAGTAATATCATAAAGATCAATAGATAAGAGATAAAACAGACAAGTAACTAGGTGACAACTAGGCTACTTTATTTCTTTTAAAGCTGTATTTTATTTATTTATGCATACAGAACAGGGATACAAGCCAGAGGTGCAGGGGAGGTAGTAAGAGGATTCACCAGAGACAAAGTGAGGAGCAGAACAGGCACATCACTGAAGTACACTATGTAGGTGAGCAGTGGGCGTGTCAGGAGAGGCCATGCCATGTGGGTCACCTCCCAGGCCGGGAATTGAAATCAAGCTGAAGATGTTGTGGCTGGCTTCACAGTGATGTGCTTTAACCCTGAGTGCCACTAGGGGGGAGGGGGGCGATTAGACTACTTTAAATTAAACAGTCTTGGGAAACTATATTGTGCTGGTGACCTTTGTGATAAGATAAATACCAAAGAGGATCTCTTACTACTGACAGCTATAGTATTATTTTCTTAGTAATATCAACTATCTTGCATATGTCACAACTGAGCTCACCAAAAAACACTCAAGACTGAAAGTAGCATTTTCTTACAAATTTATGAAAGCATTTATGAAAGCATATTTTCTCTTCCATCCTATTGACACATGTATTTTCCCATTTCTCTCCTATTTATTCTCTTCCCAGCCCACAATTTGAAGAATGCGCATTCAAAGACAAAGGATAACTAGAGCAAAAGTCAGACAGAAAGAAATTTATATACTTGAAGATCAGTATTGAGTTAAAGAAAAAAGAAAGGAGAAATGGTGTTCAGGATAAGAACAAAGTTGTTTGATCTTGTAGGATCTTGTAAGACTTGGAATTTAGCATGTGGATTGTTTCCAAATGTAAAAGATAACAGGGGAAAGACATGATATTGACATCAGCAAGAATTAGGATAGTGTAGATTCTGTGGTAGTATTAAGCTGTTAGATTTTTTTCACCTGTTAAATTTGAGCTTCTTACAATCCAGGATTAAGATTATAGATACTAGAATTAGCTTTTCTAGTTAGAATTCTGGCTTTATTTATGACTGGGTGGGGGGCCAATTTACATAATCTTTTGCACTAATTTCCTTGGTTACATTAAAGGAAACAACATCTATATTTACATTGCAACTAGTGTAATTACATATAATTACATAATTATATCATATAATATATATTATATAATACATATATAATTACATATTATATACACATATAATACATTATATAATTATATACAGTTTATAATATATATTATATGCAGTTATATATTATATATATACACATATATATATATAATATAGCACTAAAAAGATATCCAGCATGGCAATACTCAATAAAACTCATCAACATTGGGACTTAGTGTAATTCTAAATGGAAATCTATAAATAAGATAGTGACTTGACTCTGTCTTCTAAATCCGTCCCGTATTTATTACCTCCTTCCTAAAACTTCACTAGTGCTTCACTAGTTAGTCACTAAAATAAAAGAATAAAACACAGAAAAACTCTGAACCAGTACTGGGGATTAGTAAATGTCTACTAGCTTAGTAGTTGATGGGTTGTCAGAGCTAAGAATTTCTTATTAAATAATTCATAGGAGTTAAGCTTTATCTCACCAATAACTTATCTATTTGAATGGCGAGGGTAAAAGTAATGCACTATCTTTGAAATAAATGGGAAACATATCACCTTCAAACATTTTCCCTACAAAGAAAAAGCACTAAAATTCAGGAAAATAGAGGATATATTTTAAAAGATAAAATCATTATTTTAAGTAGAGGGGAAATACGATTTTGGGCCAATGTAAGAGTCAAAAATATTATAAAGATGTTCATAGCATAACACTGACAAGTAGTTTATTAATTTAATATATAAAGAATTCATACAAATTAGTAGAATGACGGAAACCCTTTAACTCAAAAATATTTATTAATGAATGTCTACCTATGTCAAACACTTTACTTTGGAAACAAAATAAATTACATATAAACCTGGAGTGTATGAAATATTTATATATCAGGCAGATTCTGTAAACACACATCTAGCTTCTGCTCAACTGTCTTTGTATATTATCCCAATTTAGACAGCACTTAAGGAATTTAAGAAGAAATATCCCTTCAGAACAGGCAAATGGTAAGGTCAAAAGTTGTAGGCACTAAATTATCCTTCTACACTTCAGTTATATTTCTCAACTTTGATCTGTAATGATATAAATATTTTTTACTGAATATTATAAAAGATCATGTATTCTAATATGCTATGCTAAAAAGAATGTAGCAAAACAATCATTGCTACTTAAAAGTGCTTACTACTAGGTATCTATCATGCAAAATGTTTTATCTACATAATTTTGTCCACATTTCACAACTTATCTATGAGAAAAAAAATATTCCTATTTTATAGCTGATGTCAGACTTAAAGAAGTCAAAGTACTTCATGAACCTTAAGGAGTTTCTGAGAGCTAGATGCAAACTCAGATCTCATTCCAAAGTCCACAACTCACTCTGACTATCCATAATGCTTTAGCTGGTTGTGGCTTGTTCCAATCTCAAAATAAAACTTGGGAGGATATACTTTGTGTTGTGTATTTTGTTATATTTAACTGACAAATTCTCTCCTGCGCTATAAGAATATTGTGTCCTAGTAGAATAATTTT